GCAAACGGGCCGGGTTCAAATCTAGTATACTATAAAGATATGATATTGTACCAGAAATCATAATGTAACGGGAATGGTTTTTCCTTCGAGCTTGTTAGGTACAACTAGGTTGATAGCTCTATGCATGCACTATATTTCTCTTTTGACTTTCACCTACCATTGATACGATCCTTTTGGTCTCTTTTGTAGAAAATTCGTCATTCAATGATCTACAATTAGCGGTCGCTATTAGTGGTGCATGTTTGAACGATGGATTAGTATAATGTGGACATGTTTTCCCTTTTGTTTGTTTTACAATCCGAGACCATTTGGTGGTTGCTAATGCGGACGGTTTTGCCTTTCACAGTTCAGACTGATCAAATGTCGCCTATATAATACTTCAACTGATTTCTTGTCTGCTTCATGTTAATTGTAGTATGAGAAATATAACTTAATTACATTCTCGCGAAAAATAGAAAAAATGGGGTTTCATAGATGATAACTAGCTCAATGAGAAAATAACCAATGATGACTCGCTAAAATTAACCAAAACACCAATTGGTAAACTAGTGGTGGAAATTTGGTAGGAAAGAATCGGATTTAAAGCGTGAATCAATCACTCTTCTTAGAGTGTTTGTTTGGTCTCACTACAAATATTGGTAGGATTAGGCAAATTACTTTCAAGAGTCTCTTCAAATTGAATTTCAAGCAGCGGCTTGCAAATTTATGTGTTTGTGATACAGAGAAAGAAAACTTGAAAGAAAAAAATGTCCTCACATATATGAAAAATAGTTCTAGCAGCAATCTATTTATACCTGTGAAAACGAAAGTTATTTTATGAAGGGACATTTCTTTTCACATAATAGGAAGTCACCTTTTGAATGGACACGTTCTTTCATAATATTCAAACATTAATTAATTACTTAATCTCATATTAATTCGTCAATTAAACTGCCAAAAACTCAATTTCGAGTAATGACGTGCAAATAATCCATTGTACTTTCCTTCTCTCACCAATATGGTATTACAACTCTATCGATCCTCCATTTAGTCAAAAAGAGTTGAGAATACATGCTCCAAACAAGTAGTGCATACATAAATGTATTTTTTATTTGAAATTTTACTTAGTGTAAACAAATCAAAGTTAACATCTACTTTCTTTAGAGCATAACCACTCTAAATAATCACATATGTGACATTCTAGATGAACGCCATTAAGGTACGAATCCCACCCCTTTAGATTCCATTCCTTCTAACTATTTAAAGGGTATGAATTTCATCCCTTTAGATTTCTCATAGATCATGCCTCTTGACAATTCCTAGGTGAGAGGACCTTCCAAATTGTTTTTTTATCTTACATACACAATAAAAATAATTTTGTTAGCAATCAAATATCTAAAATAATCATGTCTTAGGTTGATATGTCTAGATTTACCATTGCAAATATTGTTATAAGGTCTATTTAAAAGCAGGAAGTCAGATACTCCTTAATGTCAATTATTCCCTTTCGGTTGCTCCATGTACACCTCTTCATCTAACTCACCATTTAGGAAACCTTTTTAACATATATTTGGTATACAAACAAATATAGATAGACGCCAAAACTAAAAACACTCTTACGAAAATTATTCTTGCAATTGGTGCATAAGTGTCTAAGCAATCTACTCCGAACTTTTTCCTAAACCTATTTTGCAACCAATCTAGCTTTCAAAGTATGTATTCATCCATCAATATAATCATTAGTCTGAAATACCCATTTACTTCCAATGGCTTTAGATCCTTGAGGCAAATCCACGAGAATCCAAGTCTTGTTCGTTATCAATGAATAGATCTAATTTTTAACGGGCTCATTAAAAAAGATGAATCTCTAGAAGCCATTGCTTCTTGATAAGATTTCAGATCAGCTTGTACATGGAACAAAATGGGTATCTTTATTGTAACCTTTTTTAATCTATCTCTCCCTACAAGAAAGACTATAACTCGGGGGATCAATGAATGTTGGACCAAAACTCTTTTTTCCTATCCCTTTGACTTCTCCTTGGTTTGATAGCAACAGGCCCATCTAAAGACCTTTTACCACTAGAACCAATGTCAATGGTGTAGAATAGAATCACATGGCGAATATGTCGACATAACTTGGCCTGGTTCTACATTTGTAGAATTACTTCTGAATTTGTTCTGAAAGAACTCAACATCCCTTGATTGCACGACCACATTAGATTCTAAATCTAGAACCTTATAGACTTTTGAGTTTTTTGCATACCCAAAAAAAAAACACTTTTTAAATTTTGAGGACCCAACTTAGTTCTCTTGGTGTGTGGAACTCTATAGAAAGCAATGCAGCGCGAAACTCTAATATATATTAAGTTTGTTTTTTATGTGATTCTGATCGGCATCAGACCCCCTGTCGGAGCCCGAAATTTTCAATTCCCAGATGGGGGAAATGGCAGGAGAAACCAGGGAATGTGTCCAGGGATTTTCCGCGACCAGGGCAGCAAAATACCCGACCGGGCATTTTGACCAGGTTTTGGTCCTGTTTATTTTTGTTACCTTTTTCATTTAGAATTCTTTCCTTTTAGGTATTTTCATTAGCTTTATTTTTCATACCTATCTAAAAGGGTTGTAAGCCACGAATTTTAGGAGATTGGAGGAGATTATTCAGACTTTGATAATGAAAAAATACTTTTCGGTTCATTGAGTTTTTACTCATGGATTTTGTCCTTGTTTATCGGTGGATCTCCAACATTCAAGCGAGCTTTGTATCAATCAGGTATTCCCCTTGATTGTGGTCAGGTTGCTACCCTTTATATTGTTCGAGCTTCTTCTCGATATGTGTTGAATTTGCACGACAATTCTGTCATATCCTTTACTTTTCGTGTTGTTAAGAGAAAATTCAAAAAACCCTAAAAAGATCGAAGTTGCGCGACTTTAACAGAAAAACGTAAGCTTTCACGAGCTGGGGATCTTATCAGGTGGTATCAGAGCCCCGTTCAAACTAAGCGGTAATTTGAGGTATTTTTATTTCGTTTTTTGTTCTTTACAAAAAAAATGTTTGTGATTTCGTGTACTATGCACGGAGGAAAAAATTTTAAAAAAACTTCGTTCATCATCCACAAAGTTGAACGTGAAAAAAAAGGAAGACGGATATTTTGGATTTTGATTGTGTGTTTGTGGTTCAACTCAGTGGCAAGGAATGGAGATCGCGAGCTTTCATCAAACCATGATTGATCCAAAGTATGCGGCGAACGTGAACACGTGTGTCGAAGCTAAAAAGAGGCTAGTCGACACGGATCTTTGGAAGGGTATGTAGAAGACGTTGATTGCCCTAGTTCAAGCAACGGTCGTCCGCAATAATAAGGAGAGGCAATAGAGTTTTGAGTCACGAGGAAGAGGAGGCAAATTTGGAAGTAAAGAAATCGTTGATCAACTGTCCAGAACCGGAGAAGAAAGATGGAGAGTTCTATGAGTTGATCATGGTAAAAAAGGAGAAGATAGTTTATCGCGATCCTTTTTAGGATGATTTTTCTTACATTATTTCCCAAGTTTTGTAGAAAAGGAGCCAAATTTGCAAACTCGGAGCGAGACTTTTATGGAGAGGAGCAGAGACGTAACGTTCACCTTTCTGTGGATGATTGTATTTTCTAAAAGCCGAGGTACAGGAAGAAGAGGCAAGAAGACGGTGAACCTTGCTAGAGGACTTTAGACAATTTCATTTGGAAGCCAGAATGGAAAGTTTTGAGGGCAAAGCTTCTTCAACGGAGAGGGACAACCCCATTCCGCAAAGTGTTCCAATGTTTGTTCACATTTTGCGGAAGCAGCTTCATATTTCCCACAAGCAGCACAACCACATTCCGCAAGCATAGGACAGCACCGGCAAAAATAGAACACATGCAAGGGATGCAGTCTCCAATCTCCATAATTAAGGGAGCATAAACCTTAAGAACCATAGCATCACTGTCCCCGCGGGACTAATGGTGCAGAAATACAAAAACGAGTCTACACACATGTCAGAAAAAAGAAATGTCCAATCACAAAACAATAGCTACAAGCCTATAGATGAGATTTCCAAACATCGTCAACGTGGATGTAAAACTGAATAAGAGAGCTACAGGAATAAAAAATCTGGCTTCAACTCTCAACAGGATTCATTTCTGTCAATATAGAGACACATCAATCAAAGCAATCAACTCCTTCAAGAGTTTCCCACAGAGAAGCAAAACCAACTCCTTCAAGAGTTCGCCAAAGAGAAGCAAGCAAATTCATCTAACCTTAAGCACCTAATGGATTAACATAGACCACACAGTGACAATCAAGTGCAGCGTCAGCTTCATCATCCTCAAACATCGATAAATTCTATGCTATTCAAATGCATAGGTTGGGAAAACAAGCAGCACACTATAAGTGAACCCACCTACAAAAGTGCCAAAACCAGAACATATCTGCACAAACCCTGGACTTAATCACAACAAGACTAAAAATTAGTACATCAATCACTTGTTACAGAGCACCCGTTGTGCACAAAGAAAGATGAAAAACGGAGAAAACTTCAACAAATCGAACCCTAACACCCTTTACACCAAGCAAAGAAACACTACAAACATTGCCAAGTGAGAACTTCAGAGAATCAACAAAATACATTCCCCTAAAGCAGATATCCTATCACTGTAAACAATCATTTTAAAACTTACCAGCACCTAAGAAACTAACATTTTGCTGGGTTGCCTTACAGATTACCCTCGTACCATTCACAACAAGCAAGAGCTAAGAATAGTACATTAATCAATTCAAACATAGCACCAGACAAACAAACCTGACACAGAGACATCTACAACAAATCATAACCCCAACACCCTCTACATTACACAAGCAAAGAAGCACCAACAGATATTCCCAATTGAGATCTTCAGAGAATCAACCAAAATACAATAGCCTAAAGCAGATATTCTATCAATCTACACAATCATTCCAAAACTTATAAGCACCGAAGAAACTAACATTTTGGTGGGTTGCCTTACAGATTACAACCATCTAATACATTATTCTAAACAACCGCTCCTAAACATCTGAGAAATCAACATTTGTGTGCGTTGGCACAACGATTATCATCATCTAATGTTCATTACCCGCACTAGACAATTTAACGATACATAAACCAGAAAAGAAACAAAATCAAGCAGAGACAAATATGGAGCAAATCGATGTTTTGCATATAACAGATCTAAACCATCAAAATTCAACAATTAACATCATCCATGGCAGCAAACATAAGAGTTTTGATCCATTCGCTATTCAAAACTGCAAACTAAAGACAGCAAAACTTAACAAAGACAGTAAGAGATATCCAGAATACTCTGAAAACAGCAGCCAAAGAGCGCGCCTAATCGGAACCAGCCTTGTTGTAGACATAGGTCATGCCACACTTGCCACAGTAGTGCCTGTCGAAGTGGTTGGCCATGAACGTCCCCGCCCCGCACTCGGCGTTGGGGCACTCCTTCCTCAGCCTCTGCACCTTGCCGGAATCCTCCACCTTGTAGAACTGGAGCACCGCGAGCTTGACCTTCTTCTTCTTGTGCTTAATCTTCTTGGGTTTGGTGTAGGTCTTCTTCTTCCTCTTCTTGGCGCCACCGCGGAGGCGGAGGACCAGGTGGAGGGTGGACTCCTTCTGAATGTTGTAGTCGGCGAGGGTGCGGCCGTCCTCCAGCTGCTTGCCGGCGAAGATCAGCCTCTGCTGGTCCGGCGGGATGCCTTCCTTGTCCTGGATCTTCGCCTTGACATTATCTATGGTGTCGGAGGACTCGACCTCGAGGGTGATGGTCTTCCCGGTTAGGGTTTTCACGAAGATCTGCATCGTTGCAGCCGAGAGGGTGAGCGCTCTAGGGTTGAGTGGTTGCAGAAATGGGAGAAAGTGTTGTTTATATACCTTAGGTTTTGAGAGGCTAGGGTTTTGCTTGATTGCTTTTTGGGTCCTTGTTTATCATGGACCGAGTTCAGGCCCAACATCTTTAGAACATTTAGATAGCTCTGTAGGCCTAAATCCAATCGTAACCAGAAGATTAGAATGTTGGGCCTTGTCGTGGGCCTACATTGATAATGAACTATGAGTCTATGATGGTGGTTTTCAGCGATCCTTGGATACCTTCTTCTCCACCATCTGTTCCCAAACCGAAAGCAGGAAGTATCCCTCCTCCTATTTATGTTTCTGCTCTCGTTGATCCTGGCACTAAATTGTGGAACCAACGAGCTTTGGAACATTTTTTCTCGCCTGAATCTATTGTTGATATTCAGTCCATTCCTTTATCTTTTCGCTCAGTTCCGGATCGAGTTATTTGGCATTATGAGACTTCGGGGGATTTCTCGATGAAGTCCGCTTATCATCTTGCTTTTTCCTTACTCGATTCTCCTGTGCGAAAGCTTGGTGCGTCCCTTTTGGATCAATCAATTTGGAAGTGGGTTTGGAGCAGGGTTCTTCCTCCGAAGTTACATTTCTTTCTGTGGCAATGCCTTCTTCGTATTTTGCCAACTAGGGAAGCTTTGTTTATTCGGGGTGTGGATCTGCTCCCTATCTGCCCTGTTTGTGGACGGAAAGAAGAGACAATCGAGCATCTTTTTTTCACCTGTTCGTTTGCTAGGAAGTTTTGGCGTTTGGTTGGTTTGGAGCATCGTCTTCGCCAATGGGAGACTAGATCTTTTTATGGGTTTATCAGGTATTCTTTATTTTCCATTGATGATATAGGGTCAGATTATCTTGTCCTGCAGGTTGTCTGTCTTCTATGGCGTCTATGGAAGAATCGCTGTTTGGTGCATTTTGAACTTAAACAGTTGCAGCTTCCCATTTTAGCTTCTCAATGGCGTCATCAAGTTGATGAATCGGACAAAGCTCTGCTCCAACCTAGGCCTCAGCCTTCACTTCCCAATAGCTTTCATTTTCCTGCAGGTTCTCCAATTCTTTGTTCGGTAAAGTTTGATGCTGCGATTAAGGTTGGATCGGGTGGTGTTGCGGCTGTTGTTTTGTTGGATGATTCAGGAGGTCTTCTTGCAGCTTCGGTCAATCATTATCCTGGGATTTGGGATCCTTTCATAGTTGAAGCCTTGGCTCTTCGGGATTGTTTACGTGATTGTCTTCGGCGCCAGTTTCAATCCATCAATATTGGTGGTGATGCAAAAGTATTGATTGATAAGTGTCGTCATCGTGATGTGTCGGATGCAAGGGCAGGATCAATCTTTCAAGAAATTTGCTCTATTTTGGAAGAATCTCCTGGATTTCAAGTTCATTTTGTAGGTCGTACTAGAAACAGAGTGGCTCACTCAGTAGCTCGTCATGCTCTGTTGTTGTCACCTCACTCTCATAGGGGATTTGACTATGTTTTATGGTTCAATAGTCGATAGATTCTTTGTAATCTGGGATCGTGGATTTTCCTCTTTTTAAGAGTGATCGATTGGAAAAAAAAAGTCTATGATGGTGGTTGATTTCTTCTACAATAACGATTCATTTGGAGAGGTGGACCCCACAGCGCCATAGCAGAGAGGCTGGAGTGGATGAATGAAAAATGTGAAGAAAGTCAGAAATAAAAGTTGAAGAAGATAACTGTGAGCCACCTGTCATGTACAATTTGTAGAAGCGCCAACTTGCTTGTGTAAAAGGTTAGAAATACTTTCAGAGTGACAATTGGCAAGGGATAGGAACATGATTGTCTTTGCACTATTGTCACAAAAGGTGGTGGTCGGGAATGTAGACCAAACCGTATGGAGAATCGCAGTATATATTGTATCGTATGATTTGGTCTGTAGTGTAAAATCAGAATTATGATTTGGTCTGGTTTGGTTTGCGATCTCATTCTTTAGTATGTGGTCTGAAGTGGTCTGGACCGGTTTACCGCAGTAAACCGTACACACTACCTACTAACTCAGACCAATATAACACTAAATTAAAACTCCATTTATGTATTTGAAGAACATAGTTAGTCTATTCTTCATCAAGTTGAAAGCCAACGGATTGCTCTAATGATCGCTTACGCATTATCTCCTTATCAAAGAACCACGCAAAAACCAGAAAGATTCGTATATAATATTCACCGACAATGTCTAGACTAAACTATAGAGTCTAAAACATAAACACTAGAAAAAATTCATTCAACTTGATGAGATAAGAAAAATTATTGAGAGATAAGCAATCATCTTAGTGGTTCAAAATGACTTCGACGTCATCACGATGGTGATCGACCGCGAGAACCATCATGTTCACTCGAGAGAGGGAGAGAAGCGGTAGCTCAAAAAAGGAAGAGGAAAACAAAGCTATTTAAAGTGTGTTTTTTCTAATGGATAATAATAGATAGAGTGGTGGAGACGAGAAATAATTTGAAAATTGGAAAAACTCACTTCTCTACTCATATCTTTCTTACCATTTAGTTGATGGTAAGAATTCGTGTTGAATTCCATGATTCATTATTGGTCCTCCTATTTCGTCAATCTGATCTGTATATTGATGAGTTAAATTGTTCTAATTATGTGATTGGGATAGTATTCGGATAATAAAGATGGTGACTTGGTTGGTGTTAATTTTGGGTTATTGAAGTAAGAAATTTGATGTTTGCTCCATATCATAGTGGATACTATAACCATTAACTAGCCTCAAATCTAAACGTAACAAATTTAAATTTTATTTAAGTACTACCTAACTAAAATTAATAAAGTTATATCACCATGGTAAGTACTTTTTTAATTCTCCAAATACAATTCTTATGGCGATAGTTCATATATTTATTGGTGGGTCATTGCCCATCTGAGTGTGGGAAACGTGTCGGATCCGTGCGCATCCCGGTCCCGACCCGAGCAAATATGCAAATGGTCCCTTTCCGATTTGCCGAATCCTCTTCTCCGTCCACCAACAACCATCTGCTCTGCTGCATTCTCATTACGACACTTTTAACGAATTCGTTAATGCACCAGCAGACAAATCGGGTGCAGGGTCAAACTTCTCTTTCTTTCTGGATTCCATTCGTCTCCGTGGCAGAAAAAACTTCGTATTTACCTTCCTCTCCAATGCAATCAAGACCCATTTCTTCATCCAGTCTTCTCCGTTTATCTTTTGTTGATCACTGCCATCAATCCTCGTGCTTTCTAGTTTGTGTTCTGGAGGAGTTGGGTTCTGCTCTGCGCCCTCAGTTTGGCTTGTAATCAAGAGTAGGAACATCATCATCGCGGTGCGTCTTTTCATCTCAGAGCTGTAAGACCCTGCCAGAAACTCTTGATTCTTGCATTTTGATTCATGGTTGAGAATACAGAATCGTTGGTTTGGTTGGGCACAGAGTAAAGAATCCCCCTTTATGGGTTAGAAATTGCCATTATGGAGGGTTTGTGGATTGTCTCTGTTACTGCTTTTCTTCTGTAATGAGTTCCTTGAGTGCATCATGAACATATTGAAAGGAGGAAGGTGGTTGTATCAATTTTGTGACGCTTGGTTAATTCACACTTTACATGGTTTATTTAGCTTCATTTTTACTTGTCCTTGCACAGACTCGGATTCGTATCTCTTGATAGTAGCTCCTATGCTATTCCTAATTCATTGTCTACAGTACACACACGTCTATCATTATAAGCAACTTGAGTTCTTAGCTAAGTTCTTACCTGCAACACAAATGATAATCCTACAAGTAAGCTACACAAGCACAATCCACCTCCAGAAACCTACACAATATTTTTGTTTACCAAACTACCACAAGAATTGGTCAGTAAATTAAGCAGTAATCACTCTGTGTGGCCCTGTGGGTATTAATTAAATATATTCTGGAAATTTTTATATAAAGCAATTACCATGAGAAGTGGCCCTCATCGAGCAGCAGACGTTCAAGTTAAACTATATTGAGGAGCTTCTGCTTCTCGTGACAATTCTCAATGTTTAGAGAACCTCTTACTTCTGCATTACAAGTTTAGTGAGTGGGTAGAAGGTTGGTTCCTTTGTTTGCTGATCTGTTTTGCAGCCTTTGATTTGGGTAGAAGGTCTACTCGTCCTTTTTTTAGGAGATAGTTGGGCTACTTTCAATCCTGCATTATTATTTTTTTCCCGGTAATTATCCTGCATTATTCTTCAATGTAAAATTTCAAATTTGTGATCATACTATCCAGTAAAGAAATGTGGCTCTGGGAATACGGAAAGATTGAGTAAAAATGTTAACTGTGTGAGCAGGATCCTCAAAACAGACTACTTGACACCCCATCATGAGTGCCGCAGATACAACTGAGCCAAGTTATTGGTTGAACTGGAGATTCGCCATCTGTGCAGCTTTCATTGCAGTTGCTATTTCTCTGTCAGGTTTTCTAATATGGAAGAATGAAGGTTCCAAGGAATCGGATTCTGAGTGTGAGTCTGAATCCGTGAGAATAGAAAGTACTCCACCCAGAGTTGGGTCCTTGTATGCGGATGAAGCTTGGAAAACATGTCTCAAGACGGTTCATCCTGTTTGGTTGCTGGGTTTTAGGATAATTGCTTTCATAGTAATGTTCGGGCTACTTGCAGCAAATACTGTCAGGGATGGAGGAGGCATTTTCTACTTCTATACTCAGTAAGTTGTCCCTCTAGTAAACCATCATCTTCTTTCCCCTAACTTAAATTTAAACAAAAACATGCATTATCTAGTGGCTAGAAAGACTCAGTTTGGTATTTTCTACAGCCATTATGTGAATGCCTGTTCAAGATATTCTTTGTTGACTTGTTACTCATACCACTCCCCTTGATATTCTCATGTTTAATGTGCTCATTACATTAAATAATTCTTTCTTCTTTTTAGGTGGACATTCACTTTGGTGACCATCTATTTTGTGGTATGTTCTCTCAGAAAATCTGTTGATGAATAGATCACTTTTTCCAGCTATCCACTTCTCTATCAGTTACTTCTGTTCAATATTGATAGTGATGCACACTTTTAAGGTTGTAATATAAAATATAAAAATTGTCAAGCTTTGGATGGAAAACATCCTGCTAAGTATGATGGTATTACCTGAAAGAAATTGCTCATGGTGTCATTTTTATGTGAAGCTTGGATTAGCAATGTCCATTTACGGATGCTGCAAACATTGTGATGCTTCGGGCAGGGTTGCTGGGGAACGCTTTGATGCTGAGAGAGGAACTTACATGGCGCCCACCCTTGTGGAAATCGGAGACTCATCCAACCATATAAAAGGTTCAGCTGTCCATCGAGAACCTTTCACTGAGAAAAAGCAAACTGCAGGTGCATGGGGCTATATCATCCAAATCATCTTTCAGGTAATTTATCTTCTGCATGCAGTGTGGCTTCAGTTTAGTGGAGTGCAACTTAATTTCTTTTTCACGTGTATTCCTGAATTACCTGGCTTGGATATGTGGATGACCACGAAGGTGAGAAGTCATACCAATAATGAGGCTTCTCCTTACTTAAAGGACTAACTGGATAGTTTGTTCACTCTACTCATTGCGTAAGATAGTTTTGATAGCTTCCTTTCATTTCCGTCTTGCTCTTGTTTTCCCAGTATGCTTTCCCTTTCTGGTTTCTATATACATATATTTCTGAACTTTTGTCCTGCTACCTCACTCCCTTTTGGGGTTTTGATAAAATTGTTACTCAATTATCAAATACAGATGGGTAGTATGACTCCCATACCCTGTGACTTGTTTCGTGATCTTATTAAATAGTCATGTAAGATGCATATAATCCATCTGATTTTTCAGCTATTACGTGACAGACTTGTGCAGGTGCTGTAGTGCTCACCGATTGTGTATTCTGGTTCATCCTTTATCCATTTCTAATGGCTGCAGATTTCAGGCTTGAGTTTGTAAGTATTACATGTTTCTCCAGTCTCCATTGTTTGCTTGGGGTTTCAATGAGTGGTCTTATATGCATTTCTTTTCTGTGTATGATATTGTACTGAATGTATTGAGCATGGCCACAGAATGGTTTGCCAAAGTTTACAGTTTTCACGTCCCCCCATTTCATAGAGCATCGCAAAAGATGAAGTTCTATACTTGTGGGATTTTCATATCATTATTCAAGCCAGTCTAGGTTAAACAGCAGTAACCACCTGCTGTTCTTCGTCATTGCAAGTCAAACTGTTCGTCTGACAACTGTGCTTTTCCTTCCTCTCAATTGCAGATAAATGCCTGCATGCATTCAGTGAATGCAGTTTGCCTGCTTGGTGACACCGTGCTGAATGGCATGGTAAGTTCAACACTATCGACGGCTCTCTTTCTATATCTGATTCCTTTGCAGTCCAGTAACTAATATGGCACGTCATGATTATCTTCTCTATCCAGCGGTTCCCCATGTTTCGAATGGCGTATTTCATCTTGTGGACGAGCATTTTCGTGATTTTCCAGTGGATTATCCATGCATTTGTGTCGATGTGGTTAGTTTTATAGCACAAATTGCTCATTACTTTCTACTCACTCTGAATCTCTTATCTGGAATCTCTGTAGAACTAGGATTGAAACGTTTGCTTCTTCTTGATATAGGTGGCCATATCCATTCCTTGACTTATCATCTAAATATGCTCCCTTGTGGTATGAACATCATCATCACTTTCTCATCAACTATTTATCATTGCTTTTGGATCAAACTGACTCTAAACGTCGATCTGCTTACAGGTACCTGGGAGTGGGAGTTATGCATATTCCTTGTTATGGCTTCTTCGCTCTGATAGTTAGGTTGAAATATTTTTGGTTGGCAAGATCGTTCCCTGATTCATGCCATGTCTTCAGGTGAAAAACATGGCACTTGCTCTAGTAGCAGCAAGCTGGAAGAAATTAGTTTATGTGCCGAGAGGATACAGATCCTTTGATTAATTGTATCAGAGTCAATGTTATGAAACCAGGGGTTTCCGTAACTTGGCTCTCAAGTTTCTGTAACATTCTTATTTATTCCCCTCCAGTTTACAGTTAACAAGGAAATGAGTGATAGCAACTCTTCTTGAATCTATTAAACAACATTGAATCAAAAGAGGCCAAGCCACTTTCACCTCCATGGTAAACTGCCTCCAACCAGAATTAGTCATGGTAGTAGCAAAGCTGTTGCAGATTGCTCCATTAACGTTGATCCACGTGGATCCAGCTAGTAGGACATGGCTAACACATGCATGCGAAGGAAGGGAAGTCATAAAGGCAGGGATCTTGAGCAGGCTAGCTAACAGAGGGTTGATAATGCAGGGTTTGTTTCTCGAACTTGTAAAGTAAAATTGAACAAAGTTAATTACACAAATCCTGAATGGCTGATGCAATGAATGTCAGTCCAAGTACAAATCCTCAAGGCTCAAGATTGTTCGAAACAGAGAAAAAACCAGCAGCACCTACTATGGCTTTACATTGTCCCGGATAAACTGTTCGACATCCGCTATCTTACCGGTCAAACCAGAAGCTTCTCCGACAGAGACTTTGTTAGTGCATTGTGAGAATGAAAATGCTTTCCCAGGAGTACCAAGTGTGTGGTCGTTCGCAACATCAGCATCAGATACGGCACTTCTTGATGTCCGTAGCTTGTCACTGTGGGATGAATGAAATCGGATAATCAGGGTGAGCATACTAGTTATTATTAGAATATTAAGCAACGAGTTCTACATGGAACAGCTTTGTCAAGGATAATTGACAAAAGAATGGATGTAAAATAAAAGAAAAAAATGCAGTGCAAGGCGGAACAAGAGGGATCAAGAGCCATACATTTCTTTTTCAAGCTGTTTGCAGATGAAATCCTTTGTGTGTGCTGTCACCTTCTCTGTCTTGTTACAGCAAATCAAAACAGGAACCTTCTTCTTCACCACACTTGCTTTGGTTAGAATATCATACAGATACCTGTGACACACAAAATTAAACACGGTTAGAAACCAGTGTCCGATCAACAAACAAAAGTAGGTCAGATGTTTGACCCATTAAGGCAGTTCAAGATAAGGAAAAATACTCTGAAACTCCACGAAGGTTAGGTAAAAACTCCAGGGCATCGACAACAAACACAATGCCGGCAGCTTCAGGCAAGAACTCATCTAGCTTTGGCAGAAGACGAGGATGCCCGGGAACATCAACAATGTGGACAGGCTTCACCTTGCGCTCCTGTCAAGAAAACAAGAGAAAAAACACAAGCAAATACGTGGAAATTTTAGGGGTATCCAATTCCTCATGCAATCAACACGGCTAGAAGAAATAATACAAAGCAAGTGCAAACTGGTGGGACAGGTTATTAACCAACATTAGGCAGGGTTGAAACTGAGATAAGCTTACCTTACCAGCTTCAGAATGGAGAATGAAAGTTCCTTCATTGGGTTCCATTGAGGTGACAGTACCCTGGTGTGAAGAGCCATCCCGAAGCTACAAAAGAAGGCAAACAATTAGAACCAGGCATTGCAAGAATGCGCAAAACATAATCAATGACAGGAGAGCTCACCTGATAGAAAAGAATCGTTTTCCCGCTTCCACTGAGTCCGGATAAAACAATGGTATTAGATTTTGGCCGCCTAAGCAAGCGAACTGCACATCAGAAAAAGAAAAGGAGAACGAACGAACATATTAGACACCATTTACATTCTTACATTTTCCCCTGGAATGTAGTCATAGCTCAGTCATTCCCATCCAACAGTAAAAAATTCCGAGCATTCATAATAGCATAGCTCCGGCAATCAAATGCCAATTAGGGATAGAAACCTAAATCAACCGCCTACCCCTAGTCACACTTCACTGATCGCCCACATGGTGAGACAAGCAAGCAAGACATTCTTGGTTCTTTTAACCTTAATCCCTCGGAAATAAAAACCAAATCAACTACTCGAGCAAGCTCAACAATAATTTACAAAAAGAGGTTGGTTACAAGAAGAATTACCCAGAATGAGCAAAAGGGTAGTGAAAACCAGGACGGCAGCAGCGGAGTAGAGCTGAACTGGAGGTATCTGACGGCCGTATTCAATCCCTTTCTGAACTGCCGGTATCTGAGAGGCGTATTCAATCCCTTGCTGAATTGCCGGCAACTGAAGCACGTACTCGATCCCTTGCTGAATCCGTTGCTCCGCCTCGCTCTTCCACTGCTCAATCCCTTCCATGGTGACAGATGAAGACAACAAGATTCCTGCACCCAAAACAAAAGTTCCAAACTTTTCAGCCAAACCACATCCCAGATTTCAGTCACTGAAAATTCAGACGATCGCTCGACCTTATTGGACTAGATGGTAGCTGGAGTTGGCTAACCGGCGAGAGAAGAAGAGATATAGCTCTACCCCGGTACTCCCCGAGGTCGCCGGTGGAGCGGAATTCTAAACTGTGTTTTTGGCTCGGGTAGGGAAAGAGTTCTCGATCTGTGTGGCTTTGCCATTGTTTGGCAAGAAAAAAAACAGTGATGCAGAAAGTTCGCGAACTTCGAAGCTGGGCCGTGAGCCCAAAATAAATTCTAATGAGGGACGGGAACGTGTTAAGGTCCATGAGAGATAATTGGGCCAGTCAAACTGTGATCTGGCCCATGGCCTGCAACTGCAAGTCACCATCCTCAACCTCCTGACTTTTTCAATTCGACAACTGACAAAATTGATAATAATTTTTTTTTTTATAGCTAGGTCGCTGTATTGAATAAATGGTTTGTAACCGAATAAGCCCATTACTTTGGGGGAAATTGGTAAAAAAAAAAATACGGTCACTATATTAGATAATGATTTGTGAGCATGTAAGCCCATGACTTTGGCATGGAGCAACAATCAATAATATCACATAAAAAATAAAGAATAGGATGCCAATTGGATAGTTTATACAATTAGTTAGAGTTGTTTCCATACTCATATCAATGAAATGAACAAATAGTAAATCAAAACTCTACTGATATTATTATATTAAGTTTTGGATATCTATAAATATGAACAGATAATCATTTTTTTCATTGAAATTTTATCTAAAAACATTATACTAGCTAGTGAAAAAGTTATTACGAAGAGTGACCATATATTAAGAGAAATGTTTTAAAAAAAATAAATACCACTAACCTAGAACATGAAATTCCCAGATTCAAATTCTTTAAGTAGTACCTTAATCACAAACAATAACTTGTATCACCCTTATAAAAAAATAAGTTGAGAGAGAATAATAATACATGGTATGTTATAATTCAGTAATAAAAAAATATCGTTTGTACATTTTCGATAATATTTGAGTTTAAGTTTTATCTGTGCCAAGTTTTATGTTGTTTAATAAGGTGAATTTTCGGGTCCTTATAAAAAACTTGATATGGTGGGGGAATTTTGAGGTTTTGGGTTGATCATAAAATGTGTACGTTGAATTAAAACACGAGATTCCCATATGGGGAAAATAAAACAAGACAAGAAACAAAAACAAAAACAAAAACATCTGGTATGGGGTTAGCACCGAATCACTGCATACCAAGCTCAGTTAGCACACCATTTTGATTTTTAAATAAATTTGACTATGGATCTTGAGGTCACGTTCTAGAAACATATGCTCCATCCAGGCAAAAGCACTATGGGACCACTCTGGTTTAGAGTATCTAAGCCAGGAATCCTGCACCATATTTTTAATTGGTTCTCAAGAAGTTAGGGGTGGTTTGCTTGTTGGATTTTATAAAATGTGGGATTTGGATAAAACCTTGATTTTTGAGAGTAAAGGATTACGTCTTGTTACTGTAGTTTATAGCCCAAATAAAGTGCAGGATAAGGCAAAGTTGTATGTTGAGTTGAGACAGTTGGGGCTTACTAGTGAGCCTGGAGTTTGGATAGGGGACTTCAATGCTATTGTTGAAGATAGTGGGAAAAAATCCAAAAGTACCACTGTTTAAAAAAAAATTCCAAAAATACCACCCAATCCCAAAAAATTCCAAAAATACCATCCTTTTTCAAAAACCGCCACCCCACCCTGCGGTTTACATGAAAACCGTTTGTCGGGGGCGCGGTTTTCTATGCAAACCGCGGGCCTAGGGGGCGTTTTTCAAACTCCTAACTTCGGCCGAAACTTCAAACGAACGTAACTTTCCACTCGGGTATCCGATCGATGCAATTTTTTTTTTCATTTCGCATAACTTTTCAAGATCTACAACTTTTAGTAGGATAAAATTTTCAAAACAGGAACTATTTGTGGATATACGGGACCTTGAGAATAAATTTACCTTTACTTTTCACAAATCCATGTACATTTTGAAATTTTGATTATATTAAAAGTTTTAGATCTTGAAAAGTTATGCGGAATCAAAAAAAATTCATAACATTCGGATTTTGGAGCACAAAGTTATGACCGCCCAAAGTTTGACGAAATGCGAGACCCGACGGTATGCGGCTTGCAAGATCTCAAAAAGTTTGCGGCCTCCATTTTTTGAATCCGAATAAATTTTTGAGATCTTGCAATTTCGTCTCGAAAAACGACATTTGCCACCCGAACGAGCCTTTTTTATTTCGTCAAACTTTGGGCGGCCATAACTTTGTGCTCCAAAATCCGAATGTCATGAATTTTTTTTTATTCCACATAACTTTTCAAGATCTACAACTTTTAATATAATCATAATTTCAAAATGTACATGGATTTGTGAAAAGTAAAGGTAAAGTTATTTCCAAGGTCCCGTATATCCACAAATAGTTCCTGTTTTGAAAATTTCATCCTACTAAAAGTTGTAGATCTTAAAACGTTATGCGAAATGAAAAAAAAAATTTGCTACGATCGGATACCCGAGTGCAAAGTTACGTTTGTTTGAAGTTTCGGCCGAAGTTAGGAGTTGATCGAAAAAAAAAAATTTGGACCAAACCGCTTGGTGGGGTGGCGGTTTTGGGTCAAACCGCCACCCCACCCAGCGGTTTGGTCCAATTTTTTTTTATAACCGCCCCCTAGGCCCGCGGTTTGCATAGAAAACCGCGCCCCCGACAAACTGTTTTCGTGTAAACCGCAGGGTGGGGTGGCGGTTTTTGAAAAAGGGTGGTATTTTTGGAATTTTTTGGGATTGGGTGGTATTTTTGGAATTTTGTTTTTTAAACAGTGGTACTTTTGGATTTTTTCCAAGATAGTGAAGCCTCAAATTGTCCTGATTTTAATCAGAGTAGGGAGGATTTTCGTTGCTGGGTTCAGGAATGAAGCTTACAAATCATAAAACACTGAGTTCATGGTATACTAGGTGGAACAAACAGGTTAATAATCCAATTGCAAGGCGGATTGACAGGGGCCTGGTTACTGAGAAGTGGCTGGATAGGTTTCCAAATAGTCTAGTGCAGACTCTTTCCCCTGGGGTGTCAAATCATTGTGGATTGCTTGTGCAAACTGACTTTAGACTTACTTCACTTCCAAAACCTTTTAAGTTCTTCTTGTTTTGGAGGCAATATCCTCAATATGAAGATTTGTTGAGAGGGGCATGGAAGCTGGAGGCTACTGAGGAACCTTATCGAATATTATATGGAAAATTGGGAGAGCTTAAAAAAGGCTCACAAGTTTGAATAAGGCTATCTACTCTGATCTCTCAGTTCGAACAAGGGAAGCAGAAGCAGTATTGGAGGGTTTGCAGAGTGATATGCTTTTGGATCCCTCTGAAGTTCACTCACAGGCTGCAGGGATCTACAGTGTGCTGGGGAGTCTTTTTATAGGCAAAAGTCAAGGGTTCAATGGATCACTAGGGGGATGCTAATACTGGATTTTTTTTCATGGTATGGTTAAGGCTAGAAATCACAAAATGACTGTTATGGGCCTTTACGTAAGATCGGGTAATCGAACGATCGACTCCCGGCCAACGATCTGGTATTGGCAAAAGCCCTTTGTCTCTCTTTGGAGCTATGGCTGATGCTGGGTAATTAGATAAGAAAGAAGAGAGGTGGAGTTTGGGGTAGAGACAAAAGGAACGAGAAGGAAAGAATGGGAAGAAGAAGAAGAAGAAGAAGAAGAAGAAGGGGTGCAAGGAAGAAGTAGAGTGGTGGCTTAATTCGAGGAAAGCCTTCCCTCCGTGATAGCACTTAGTTGTGTAATTCTCTGCTGAAATCCGGGGTACGCATACCTTGAGTATGAAAACGCTATCTAGACCTCGAATTAGCAGGATTTTGGGCATGATACTATGTCCTAACCCTTAATGAGTGAACCTTAGGTCCTAATGATCTAAATCATAAACTATAAACCCTAAGATCGTGAATTGATTTTTTTGCCTATATTTGGACGAATCATAACCGTCGATTATTGTTTCTAATTAAATTGATCTTGTGGTATAAGATTTAGAGAATTAAGACCTAGATTTTGATCTTTAAGGGTTAGAGTGTAGTATCATGTCTGAAAGATCAGTCAATTCAAGTTCTGAATAACGTTTTCTTACTCAAGGTATACGGTACCCTGGATTTCACCCAGGGTACCGTAGAACTCCCCATATATATATAAGACTAGATTGAACTAACAGTTGCTAAAACTAAGGAGACTCTGCTCCACAATCCTATCTACTCGCCAACAGCAACAACTAAACTTGTGACTTATTCAAACAACAAAATAAACAAATATGCCCATAACAGTCCTTCCCCCTTATGAAGAAGAATCCTTGTCCTCAAGGATTATGGGTACTAAACGTGTCTGCATCTCCACTAGCAAGCTTCAAGCAAGAGACGTGAAACACAGAGTGAACTTTCGCATCTGCTGGGAGCTTAAGATGGTACGCTAGCTTCCCGATCCGCTCTTGAACTTGATATAGCCCGTAGAAGCGAGGAGCAAGCTTTGGGTGTGTATGAGAACCCAGAGTAAGTTGACGAAAGGGTCTTGCCTTAACATATACCCAATCACCAACCTGGAAAACCCTCTTCATACGACCAGTGTTGTAAACCTTCTGCATCCGTTCCTGAACTTTGAACAACTATTGGCGGAGGTCACGAATTACTTGCTCGCGGTGCTGAAGCTCGGTGTCCACAACGACGACTCTAGCAGTTCCCGTCACATAAGAGAGGAGAGTGGGTGGCAGCCTTCCATAAACAACCTCATATGGAGTACGGTTAGTCGAGGTGTCAAGACTGGTGTGGTAACAATACTCAGCCCATGGAAGCCATTTGAGCCATTCCTTTGGACGATCACCCGTAAAGCAACAAAGATACATCTCAAGAGCCTTTATTCACAGCCTCCGTCTGGCCGTCCGTCTGTGGATGATAAGAAGAGCTGAAATTGAAGTTGGACCCTTGCATAGTAAAGAGCTCCTTCCAAAACTTACTGGTAAAAGTGGGATCCCTATCACAAACAATACTTGATGGCATGCCATAAAGTTTGAAAATGTTCTTGAAGAAGACATCAGCAATTGTGGCAACAGAGTATGGGTGCTTGAGAGGAATGAAATGAGCCATCTTGGACAGGCGATCGACAACCACATATATAGCAGTTTTTCCTAGAGAGTTGGGAAGACCTTCCACAAAATCCATTGAAATATCCAACCAAACATGTGTTGGAATTGGCAGAGGGCTCAAAAATCCAGCCGGCTTCAAGCTCTCAACCTTGTTCTTCTGACAAACATCGCATTGCCGGATATAATCACGCACCATCTTCCGTTTCCCGAGCCAATGAAATACAAAATAAATCCGATGCAATGTCTTGTGAAAACCTTCATGAGTGCTGGAATGCATTTCCTTAACAATTGTAGGGATCAAGGAAGAACACTTGGAGAGATAAATCTTGTTTTTGTAGTACAGGACTCCATGTCTTTCCTCCCATGCTGCTGAAGTTTTCCCATCTCGGCAAGGAATGGGAAGAAGAAGAAGAAGAAGAAGAAGAAGAAGAAGAAGAAGGGTGCAAGGAAGAAGTAGAGTGGTGGCTTAATTCGAGGAAAGTCTTCCCTCCGTAATAGCACTTAGTTGTGTAATTCTCTGCTGCCCCCCTGCATCTTTATTGAATATATATAAAAGACTAGATTGAACTAACAGTTGCTAAAACTAAGGAGACTCTGCTCCAAAATCCTATCTACTCACCAACTGCAACAACTAAAGCTGTGACTTATTCAAACAACAAAAATAAACAAATATGCCTATAACAATGACTATTCAGAAGTTGCTCACTGAGACTAGGGAAGAAGTAACTGATGTGAAAGCAATGAGTATAGTTGCAGTGGATTTTTATAAGGGGCTGCTGGGAAATGCAGATGCCTCTGTTCAGCAACTCCCTAGTGGGTTCTTTGAGGATCTATTGTGCCTGAAGCTTAATGATGAAGATTTGTATTGCTGACCACTCCAGTTACTAGGGCGGAAATTAAAATGGTCTTCTTTGGGATGAGTAACGACAATGCACCGGGTCCAGATGGGTACATTGCATAATTTTTTAAGCTAGACTGGGAATAGTGGGGACTGAGGATGAGAACGTTGTGTTGGAGTTCTTTAAAACTAGAGTTATGCCTCGACAGGTAAATTCCATAGTTATCTCCCTTATTCCCAATTCAATTTGTTGAAAGAATGAAAGATTTTAGGCCTATATCCTGTTGCAACGTGATCTATAAGGGAATTTCTAAGCTTTTATCTAACAGGCTGTCATTGGTTTTACCATTACTAATTAGCAGAAATCGGTCTGTTTTTGTCAAGGGTCGTCTCATTAGTGATAATATATTAATGGCCACAGAGCTAGTAAATGATTATCATAGGAGTCGAATTTCTCCTAGGTGTGCACTCAAAATTGATTTAATGAAAGCCTTTGACTCGGTTGATTGGTTGTTTCTGTTTAAAGTTATGAGGGCTATGGGTATGCTAGATAAGTTTGTTGGTAGAGTCGTGTGTGCAGTATCCTATGCTTAGTATTTCATTCAATGGAGGATTATGTGGCTATTTCCCTGCAACTAAGGGATTGAGACAGGGGGATCCATTTTCCCCTTATCTCTTCACAATTGCTATGGAAGTATTTTCATGCATGTTGAATAGAGTTGTTAGGAGTAATCAGATCCCCTTTCACCCTCATTGTAAGAGTTTGGAAATAACACACCTATGCTTTGCGGATGATTTGCTAGTGTTCTCTAATGGATCACCTGTGGCATTGCCTGAGATACAATAGTTGCTCTCACAGTTTTATTCCATGTCTGGCCTTAAATGTAACCCTCAAAAGTGCCAATTGTTATGTGCTGGGCTTTCCCAGGAAGAAAAGCAAGTATTATTTGATCAGTTTGGGTTCCCTTTGGGTGAGTTACCTGTCCGTTATTTGGGCATGCCACTCCTCTCTGGAAAACTGACTTCTTTTGATTGTGATTGTCTTGTTGATAAGATCACTAAAAGGATCCAGACTTGGCAAGCTAGAACCCTGAGTTATGCAGGGAAATTGCAATTAATTGATTCAGTTATTACTAGTGTATTCCAATATTGGATGTCAATCTTTTTGCTTCCACTAAAGGTGCTCAGACTGATAGAAGATGCTTGTAATAGATTCTTGTGGGGAGTTGATGGTACTAAGAGAAAGAAAGCTCATGTAGCTTGGTATAAAGTTTCTTTATTAAGACAGGAGGGTGGATTGTGGATTCGAGACTTTAAGACATGGAATAAGGCGTGTGTAATCAGGCATTTGTGGAACCTATTAGCTTAAGCAGGGTCTCTTTGGGTGGCATGGATGAAGAAGTACAAGGTGAAGGGCAGGAGTATATGGTCTATTCTTCCTAGCACAGTTAGCACCTGGGTTTGGAGGAAGATCCTAAAGTGCAGGGTCTTGGCACAACAACATATAATAGGAGCAGTGGAATCATTGGCATGGGATGGGGTTGTTCTTGCTCGATATTCAATCAAGCAGGTATGGGAATCCATTCGGGTCTCTAGCCAACTTGTGTCATGGTCTTTTGTTGTATGGACCAAGCCGACTTTCCCCAAGCACTGTGTACTACTTTGGTTGATAATATTGGAAAGAGTTAGAACAAAGAAAAAGCTGGAAAGTTGGGGACTGCATTGTGATGTTGACTGTGTGTTCTGCCCTAGTGGGATAGAGACTCATGATCATTTGTTTAATGATTGCTCTTTTAGTAGGGCTATGTTAAAGGAGCTTTTGCAGGTTGTGTGTTATTTACATGATTTTTCATATTGGGCGGCTCAGCTTACATGGGCAGAGACTGCCTGGAGTCTCTCTACTGATGTAGCAGCAGTGGGGAGAGTCCTGCGGATCATGGGTATAAGAACGCTTTGAAAGGAGCGTTGTGCTAGAGTGCATGGAGAAACGGTGTCAATTTCCCCAGCTCAGGTAGTGAAGAAGGTGAAGAAGGAATTCTCAATATTTGCCAGCAGCCAAACCACGTTCCAGTTGAAGGTGCAGAAGGTTCTTGGAGCTATATAGAGCGATAGTTTTATGATTGATTTCTGGTTTAGTTTATACATTGTAGCAGAACAAGTACACTTTTGAGAGGGAGGATGCGAGTTGCACCTCTCCGGGCTTCAACGCAATTTTGATTAACCATAAAAAGGATTATTTTGGATTTTGTTATTTTGGATTTGTGTTGGATTTTAGAAATTGCATGTTTGCTTGTTGGATTTCAAAATGGATTATAGTATAATGGATTTATGGATTACATGATGAATGTACCATCATATCCTTATTCATATCATTAATAAAGTATTTTTATATTTTAGTTAAGGATACTTTGGTCATTTCATCATTAGTGGGGTCCATGGATTTTGGATTCTCTCAAAATTCTAGCTCATAAGGTAGGATTTTATAATCCGTGGGGTCCATGGATTTTGAGCCAAAAATAATCCCCACATCTATGGCCCCCACGGATTTAGGCCAACTTCATTTTAGTCAACAAACGTGGATTTAAAGACATAATCCATCATATGTGGGATTTTGAGACAAAAACCCTTATCAAAATCCTACAAGTACTGCTTGTGCAACCGAACCAAATTATGGCTGTTGAGTAGTTTTTTGACAAATTTGGCGATCTAGAAATTGGGTTCTCTTTGAAAGCAAACAATTTCGGATTTCTACATTAATGCAACAATTTCATCAACAAGTCCATGAATGGATTAGTTTGCCAAGAGACAGAATGATCTCCCCATCCCCAAGTAAGGACATCGACCTCGAGTGACCCAACCTCGTTCACTTGTATGTGGGACGGTGCAACAAGGTGTGGGTCCCACTCGATGGGAGGATGGTACTGAAAGACCTCAGAGAAACTGTTGTCTTGGTGTTTACCCATAAAAAAATCAGTTTGTACCACATCGATTAATTACAAGGGGATTAATGGATTTATAAGGCCAGCTCAACATTAATGATTAAAAGAGCCAGTTGGGCCTAGTTGGGTTCGATTTTTGGGCCTAAGTGGCCAACCCCCTTCTCCTCTATATGATGGTCGACCCGTCTCTGAGGCCCCCATAGCCGGACGATGCCTCCACCCCTTCTTATGAAATTTGGCCTACAAAAACTAAGTCTTGGAAACAAGGCGACACAACGGGGTGCCAAACGACCGGGTACCAAGCTTGGTACCAAATAAGGGGGCCAAACAAGAGGGTATCAAGCCGACAAGGCAGGCTTGATACCCAAGTAAGAAATTTACCAAAGTCTTGGAAACAAGGCGACACAACGGGGTGCCAAACGACCGGGTACCAAGCCGGCAAGGAGGGCCTAGTACCCAAAGAGAATTGGCTAAGTATGGAGCCATAGGGCATCAAGCCGACAGGCTTGATAGCCAAGCAAGGCGACAAGGTACCATGCCCCCAAGGTGGTATCAAGCCGGCGAGACTGACTTAGTGGCTAGGCAACGGGGGCCAAGCCAGGTACCAACTAAGAGAGTCATACAGAAACTAAGTATGGAGACCAAGCCACCAGGACTTGCTTGGTAGCAAGGGGTGTCAAGTTGATTACATGGGCTTGATGGCATGTCGGAAGGTATCAAGCCGATGAGCTGCCAAGGGTCGGATCGAGACCTCATCATGGAGGCAAGGTTGAGGGCTTCAACCTCATCCAGTCAAGACAAGGTGACAAGATCAACACCAACCCAACCCGGCATTGAGGCCATCAAGTACCCACCAACCCCAAGACGGGACAAGGGCCTCCAAGGCGATGGATACCAACCAGTCAACAAGACGGGTCAAGGAGCTCCAAGGCAATGGAGGTGAAGATCAAGACAACGGTTACCAATTGGCAACCAAGGCAACGTAAAGGGGTCCATAAGGCGGTTAGAGCAACAAGACGGATATAAGTTACCAAGGCAGTTACTCCTAGAAGCTATAAATAGAAGAAACGAAGAAGAAGCAAGGGTTCCACAACCAAACATTTGACGCACAATGTCAAAATTTATCTTTTCTCTGCAAATCAGCTTTTAGTCTTTCGGAGCTCTCACTGAACCTCCATAGGAGTAGAGTAACTTAGATTATTCCCAAAAACCATCAAAAACATCAAACACCCTCGTTCGAACATTGTTCGGAGAGGTGTGAACCGTGTTGATTGTCGTTGTTCCAGAAGTCAAAGGTGCAATCATTTAATTCAAACACCAGTTTTTCCTCGCCGGAAAACAAATTGGCACACCTGGTGGGACACTGAGTGTTTGATTTGATGGCTCCACGACTGAAAGAACAAGAAGGTGATCTTTCACCTGGATTTATAAAAGAGCTAGTGGCTAGGTATGATCTTGGCCAATTAGCAAAAAGTAACGCCGAAAACAATGGTGGGGCAAGTGGTCAGCCTTCTCCGGCGCCATGTTTGGGTGTTACCACCACCACTTTGTCTCTCCACCAGTCACTGGTGGTAGAAATGCAATTAATGGAGGAGGCTATGGTGGGATACACAAAACAAATTGTATCTCAACTTGATTGTTTCCATACTCGTCTAAATCGGCATTTGGATCAACTAGATGAGATTTGTGAGATAAATGAAAATAATTGTAAGAAGTTTCGCCAACTTTTGATGAAATCAGTATGGAGATCAAAGGTTTCTGCGAAAGATGGTGTAGATCCACCATCAAGCGTTGCTACTGGGGATACGAGTATTCTAAACTTCGGTGGCCGGACTACCCAGCCGCGGCCAGACAACTCATCGTCTCCGGTGACAAGTCAACCACCTCTTCAGCGTGGTGGTTGTGGCGAGAATCTCGCTCCCACGTTCACCACTCACATAAAGAAATTGCCTATACAGAAAATTACTTTAGAAACTGCCTCAAAGGCTAGACCATGCCTTAATGTGAAAGTTGGTGCAGGGTCACTCGCTACAAATGTGTTCCCACAAGCTTGTCCAGCACCACTGCTATCCACGCCCATCAAGCTTGGTGGATGCAACCCGCGAGGGGGGCAGGCAGAGGGGTATGAAAGCCTACCACCTGACAAGTTGACGGTGAAATATCAGGCTGGGGGGCACGTTGACGTCAAGGAAAATGAAAAAAGAACTTTGTTTAAGGACTCACCACATTTTTCATCTAAGTGTGGCAAGAATAACATGTCTCTATCTCCATGCAGCGGACAGGGGGGCATGTCATCAGACATAAAGGATGGAGTGAGTGGCAAGTCTAAGTGGGTGTTGCCTACCCATGCCATCTATAATTTTCATAACTTTGACAACGTGTCAAAGAGTGCACAAGGAGGCAAGGCCCCTTGTAGCATGCCACCCATGAAGGGTCGACAAGGGGGCATATCATCAACCACAAACAATAGAAAGATACACATGCCCAAGAAGCCACAACAAACCCAAGCCACACATGCTTGTAGTAAGAATGGTAGTGAAGTTGAGTTTGTCAAAGGGTGCACGTCAAAAACCATGAACAAGGCTATGGGGGGCATGTCTTCAACCTGTGGAAAGGGAGGCATGTCACCGACAGTGAAGAAACGAGTGGAGAACAAGTCTAGGAGTGTTCATCACACCCAACCCACTCAAAAAATTTCTAAGTATGAGATGGCGTTAAGGGATGGACGGGGAAGCAAGTCCATGCCTAAAGCCCCCCATTGCATGCCAAACATGAATGGCAAACAAGAAGGTATGAATAAGACATCTCGACACACACCAACCAATCATGGTCCTATAAAAAATCAAGGGATGGTACGTGTTAAGTGTAAAAACCATGAAGACATGGATTTTAGAAAGAGCAAGTTGCCCACAAGGGTGGTCGTCAACTCTGTAAGTCCGAACACCCGTCTTCTCAACCATATGGGAAGAGTAAGCATGTGTCTAGTTGGGGTAAAATAAGACAGATGACAACTCTTGGCACCTTTGATGAGTCGAAGGAGTTGAAAATGTCTAGTGTACCACCCAGGACGAGACAAACACATCGGGTTCAACATCAACCTAACATGTCTAGCAAGGTGGCCAAGGCAGTGGATCATGGGACCCCTTGCAAGCCCACTAAGTCAGGGCAAGTTGAGAGGGTGCCATCCATTGTTAAGTTGGAAAATTTGAAACCAACACCGAATGAGTTGTCTCCCCTAACGGAGGGAAGACAAGTAGTGTATGGATGGTTGGTCTGGTTTAACCCATGGACTTGGCAGTGGCTGTACACCTTTTAGCATGGATATTAGTGACGTTTGTCACTCTCTTCTATATTAAAATAAATAAATAAATAAAATATATTATTAGTAAAAAAAAGAGAAAAGAAAAATCAAAAGCCAATCATGGCTAAAAAATACGAGGTCGAAGTGTCAAGTTTCAGTTAGATTTGTGATGTGAGAACCTGGTCATAACTGATAAGCCACACTCATGTGGTGGCTGGATCCATGACATTTACATGGCATGAGCAGGTGATTCGCCGTCGGTGTAGACCCTTTATTGTCCATGCCACCTGTCCAAGGAGGCCTGCTTGTCGTAAGAGGATGGGATGCTACATGATCGATTAATCAATGGCAAGTATCTCAAGCCTTATGTCCCTTCTCTTTGGGACGTGAGGTGTCAAGGGGTTCAATGTTGGGCAGCCACCATGGTGGCCGGCATGCCAAGCCTCCCACACCCTAAGACATGGCATGATACCCTCGTGATAAAGCATGACTTGAGTAGCTAGCCATGACATGGAAAGGAAATTGAGTTAGTTAAGTTTTACTTCCTTCTGTCGAGGCCTAGCATTGTATAAAAGGCTATGGGTGCATGGCTTTGTAATCAAAGCCAAAATTTGGCTAAGGAAGGTGGTATTATTTTTAGGTGGTCAAGTTGAGTTCAACAACTTAGTGCATAATTCTTATACACTAAGTCATGGGGGGCATTTGTTTACCCATAAAAAAATCAGTTTGTACCACATCGATTAATTACAAGGGGATTAATGGATTTATAAGGCCAGCTCAACATTAATGATTAAAAGAGCCAGTTGGGCCTAGTTGGGTTCGATTTTTGGGCCTAAGTGGCCAACCCCCTTCTCCTCTATATGATGGTCGACCCGTCTCCGAGGCCCCCATAGCCGGACGATGCCTCCATCCCTTCTTATGAAATTTGGCCTACAAAAACTAAGTCTTGGAAACAAGGCGACACAACGGGGTGCCAAACGACCGGGTACCAAGCTTGGTACCAAATAAGGGGGCCAAACAAGAGGGTATCAAGCCGACAAGGCAGGCTTGATACCCAAGTAAGAAATTTACCAAAGTCTTGGAAACAAGGCGACACAACGGGGTGCCAAACGACCGGGTACCAAGCCGGCAAGGAGGGCCTAGTACCAAAGTATATGAGAATTGGCTAAGTATGGAGCCATAGGGCATCAAGCCGACAGGCTTGATAGCCAAGCAAGGCGACAAGGTACCATGCCCCCATGGTGGTATCAAGCCGGCGAGACTGACTTAGTGGCTAGGCAACGGGGGCCAAGCCAGGTACCAACTAAGAGAGTCATACAGAAACTAAGTATGGAGACCAAGCCACCAGGACTTGCTTGGTAGCAAGGGGTGTCAAGTTGATTACATGGGCTTGATGGCATGTCGGAAGGTATCAAGCCGATGAGCTGCCAAGGGTCGGATCGAGACCTCATCATGGAGGCAAGGTTGAGGGCTTCAACCTCATCCAGTCAAGACAAGGTGACAAGATCAACACCAACCCAACCCGGCATTGAGGCCATCAAGTACCCACCAACCCCAAGACGGGACAAGGGCCTCCAAGGCGATGGATACCAACCAGTCAACAAGACGGGTCAAGGAGCTCCAAGGCAATGGAGGTGAAGATCAAGACAACGGTTACCAATTGGCAACCAAGGCAACGTAAAGGGGTCCATAAGGCGGTTAGAGCAACAAGACGGATATCAGTTACCAAGGCAGTTACTCCTAGAAGCTATAAATAGAAGAAACGAAGAAGAAGCAAGGGTTCCACAACCAAACATTTGACGCACAATGTCAAAATTTATCTTTTCTCTGCAAATCAGCTTTTAGTCTTTCGGAGCTCTCACTGAACCTCCATAGGAGTAGAGTAACTTAGATTATTCCCAAAAACCATCAAAAACATCAAACACCCTCGTTCGAACATTGTTCGGAGAGGTGTGAACCGTGTTGATTGTCGTTGTTCCAGAAGTCAAAGGTGCAATCATTTAATTCAAACACCAGTTTTTCCTCACCGGAAAACACTTGGCCATATGGGTGCATTTTGAGGATATTGATGATCCAACCGTAGTAAGCTTTTAGTCATGCAGGAGGTCATCCAGTGGTGTCTGGTTTGTGGTCTCGTGCGGGTTCGTTATGAAAGAGATGTGAAAGTGCTCATTGATAAGATAAACCTGGCAGACAAGCAAGATAGTTACTCAGGGGCCATTCTAGAGGAAGTCCTATGTTTGTTGGTCGCTTCATAATAGTTTTCATGTGCGATTTTTAGGTCAGATTAGCAATAGGATAGCCCATTTGATTGCTAAAAAAGTCCATTTTTGTACCTGATCTAAACTCGTTCCTTTTATTTTTTGCACTGGCTTCATACCATGGTGTAATGTGGTTATCTATTTTCCAATCTGATTACCTTTTGTGGGGGGAAAAAGATCTTGAGGTCACATTCCTAGAAACGACTTTTTATCGTTTCCCATAGCTATCTCATTCATGACAAATTATTTTTTTTCAACAAAATCGAAATCACAAGTAAACACTTTCTTCTCTTTTTGTTTTCTCATTTTCATTTTCACAACAAAAAACAAAATGAAAAGTGAACGGCGCATAACATTTAAATAACACCAATAATAATTATACATCATCACAATTCAGACACACAAAAAATACTCATAATAATTAAGCGAAAAGAAAATATCCTTTTATGCTGGTTGGCTGGCGATGGTCCAGCTCGGTCGCCGCACCTTCACTGCATCTCCTCGCCTGACGCCAAACTCATTACTTTCCATTAATTTTCAGCTCCAACTAACTTGTAGTCGTTAACCTTTCTTTATGCCTAGTTTTCCCGTGTGGCTACTTTTAGAAAAATATAGTTTGAGAAAACTTGTTGATTATGGGTTGCAAACAGTTCTAAAGATAAGAAGTGGTATAAAAAATAATTTAAATCGATGTATTGTAATCTACATGCAATTAAGAAAAATGAGGTAATGTGTTTGGTTTTGATAATAGTTTTTTAGTATTCAATAAGTTATATTACTTTTTGTGGAAAAGTT